GTCGGAAAATTGTCCTCTGATGAGCTACATCTGGGCGGCCAACATGGTGTAGGCTCCCGTAATGATAATGGTGAGCGATTGCTACAACTGTCCGAAGATGCTCGCCTCTTTCTCGCGAGCACAAACTTTCGACACAGCACCCGCAGAAGCGTGAGTTGGCGCCCACCAGTCTCGGGACAGCCATGGACGCAAATCGATCATATCTCGATCAGTTAGCGCTGGAGAGGCTGTGTCCGAAATTGTCGCTCGATTTGGAGCACGAGCGTGGACTCTGACCACGCACTTCTTTGCGCCGACCGGGTGCGTTTCGGTGGACGTCCGCAACGTCGAGGTGAACGGATTAACACCAGCCAACTGGCCAAGCCAGGTATTTTGAATGTGTACCAAAGTCCGCTGACATCCGGGCTGAGTAAGCTCCCACTAAACACCGTCGATGATCGCTGGTCGCATATTCGTCAAACGTTACTATCAGCAGGCATGCCTTCATGTGGCAAATCCAAATGCCAAACCGGACATTGGGTCTCTACACAGTCTCTGGAAGTTATGGATGCTCGCCGACGTATTCCGACTGGAAGCAAATACCATGAGGCTCGAAAATATCCCATGGCAAAACTCCGTGCTAGCCTGAAGAAGGACCGCGAAACCTAGTGGTCTCATCGTGCATCGGAAATGGAAACAGCCGCTGCCGTTGGTAATCATCGTAAGTCTGATACGGGAAACAGGTAGCAGGAGACCTGGTGTTAGCGAGACCATACGCGACGAGAGTGGGCAGCCGATCCACAGCCTGTCAAAACGCTTGGATCGTTGGGCTGAACACTTTGCAAGGCAATTTAACCAACCTGAGTTATCGCCTTCTTTTTCGGGCATTGAGCACCTTCTCCTTGGGCCTTCTCCTAGGATCCGCCCTCACGCGCAGAAGCCTAACGTGAGATCAGACTGTTGAAATTGCATAAGGCCGCTGGTGCAGATCGAATTCCTCCAGCTGTCTTCAATTTCGGGGGGCCTGCTCCAGTAGATGATTTACACGAGATGCTAATGAAACTAAGGAAGCAGGAAACTGTCCCAACCCACTGAAGCCGCTCCATCATAGTCCCCATTTTCAAGGGAGGCTCAAGATCGGAATGCGGCAACCATAGAAAAATCAGTCTGAACATCGTCGCCTCCAAATTGCTTGCGTCTGTCATTCTCCACAGACTGACTGGCGCTCGTGAAAGCCAGATTCGTGAGGAGCAAGCCGGGTTTCGTCGGAGTCGTGGTTGCATCGACCACATCTTCACCTTGCGTCAATTGTTGAAGCACCGCCATGTTCACTGGCAACCCATCGTTGTCGTGTTCCTCGCTATCAAAGGTACATTCGATTCGTTGGATAGACGTGCACTTTGGGACTGTCTGTTAAGAAAATGTGTACCTGAGAAATATGCAAATATTATCTGATCATTATACGCGCTTAGCTCAGGCAAAGTGAGGGCGTACGGCAAGCTGTCGCCACCCTTCAATATCTCCAGCGGTGTGAGACAAGGATGCCCGCTGTCACCTTTCCTCTTCAACTACACTATTGACGAAGTCATGGAGATTGCATTTATAGGACATGACTTGGAAGGTGTGGAGCTACTCCCAGGAGAACGACTTCTTGATTTGGAGTATGCAGACGACATTGCCCTCATCTGTGACAGCACCCAGACGTGCCAAGCCGCGCTGGACAGATTAGCACTGGCTGTCACTCGCTTCGGGCTTTGCTTTGAACCGTCAAAATGCAAAGCGTTCCTCCAAAATTGGCAGGGATCGCCCACTGTGCTGACCCTTGCTGAGAATCAGCTAGAAGTCGTTCAAAAATTCAATTACCTGAGAAGTTGTATCAGCGCTCTTGGGATCGAAGACGAGATCACGAACCGTATAGCGAAAGCTCGAAGTGCTTTTGCTAACCTTCGACACCTATGGCGGCGGCGCGACACTACTCTCGTCCTGAAGGGTAGAGTGTACAATGCAGCGGTACGTTCGACCTTACTGTACGGTTGCGAAACCTGGCCCCTAAGATCGACGGACATGAAGAGACTAGTTACGTTCGACCATCGGTGCCTTCGCAGTTTGGCTCACATCTGGTGGGAACACCGTGTGAGTAACGAGCGTGTTCGACGCCTTGTTTACGGCCCAGGAAAAGGGAATGAATCGCTCAGCACCGTTATTTCCCGCACCAGGCTCCGATGGCTGGGCCACGTGTTGCGCATGCCAGCTCACCGACTCCCTCGACGTGCGTTGTTTGCTCACCGGGGATGTGGGTGGAAGAAGAGGAGAGGTGGCCAAGCGATGACTTGGTCCAGAGGAATGAAGTCCCTCACTTCGGAGATAGCCTCGGTTGGAGCTTCACGGCTCCCTGGTTGGGGTCCAAAAGACGGTGAACACGTTTGGCTGGATACACTTGCTGACATGGCAAGGAGCCGACCTCAGTGGCGTTCCTGCTGTGAGTTTCTTTGTCCCTCCCCATCCCTTTTAGCCTCCCCCTCCATCTACGATCTCATTTCGTAACGTAAAACATAATAATTTTTCTTTTTGCCTAGTAGCCGGCTGGTAGCTTACCGGATCGATGCCTATCCGTTGCTGGCAGCGCAACTGGCGTGCAACTGTTGCATTTATTTTCCTTTTCTTTTATATATTGCGGCACAGTAGCTGAGGTGCTTCCTACCTCTAGCTGACGTGTATAATGGATGAATGAATGAAGGCGTTAAGGTCCTGTCTAGTGAAAGGTTAATTGATCTTGATTTCGCGGACAATAGTCTCACTTTTCGTAGATGTTGCGGCAGCACAATCAACCCTGAATAGCCTGTCTAGAGTGGTCCCATTATTTGATACGCGCTTCGCACCTTCAAAGTGTAAACTGTTGCTGAAGGACCTCTAGCCGCTTGACGAGCCCTTGACTCTTGATAAGAGGGAACTCGAGCTGGCTGATCGATTCACTTACCTCGGAAGCTGCATCAGCAATGATGAGCACATAGAATCTGTATTCAGTCCACACAATGCAAAAGCTGGAAGTGCCTTCTTGAACCTGCGGCATGTTTGGAAACATGAGTTTCCCTCCGTCTGAAAGGCCGTGTATACAAGGCCACAGGGAGGGCCGTCCTGCTTTATGGTGGTTAAACTTTGCAGCCCTTTGGCCTGAAGATCTGAGGCGCCTCCATGTCTTTGATCACCATTGTCTGCAAAGCATTACTAGTGTCCGATGGTACCGGTGTGCCCGCAACGATGATGTGCGTAGGCGAGTACTGAGTGGTGATAATCATGCGAGCTCCTTATAACGACAGATAGCAGTGAATAGGCTGCGCTGGCCTGAGGACGTGCTAAGTATGCCTAGTCACTGCTTATCTAGAAGGGCTTTGTTTATTCCACCAGGTGCAGGGTGGCGTAAGGATCGAGGTGGACAGAAGTTGACTTGGCAGAGTGAAATGAAGTCACTGATGACCAAACTGGGCGCCGTCGGTCCGTTTCACCTTCCGGGCTGGAGTCCACGTGACTCGCATTGTGCTTGGCTCGAGACTTCACAGGGCACGGCTCGCAACCGACACCAGTGGCTCGTCTGCTCCCGTCTCCCAGCCGGATTGCCTGTTTAAAATGTTTACTTCTGAGTTATCTAGGGGGTTATGGCTGATTATGACGCGGGGAAATAAAAGCCTCAAGGATGCTGTCTCACCTATACCAACTTAGCTTTGCACGATAGCCAGCTAATTGTGAAGGTATGTTGTTAACACAAGGTACAGGCGCTCTGACCATGAATGTTTGCTTACGGCATTAAGGTTTTCAGGTAAGTCCCCCTTCTCTCCCTCCTATTAGTTTTTAATTCTTAGGTCATCATGGTTGTGTGGGAGCGAAGCATCAGTTCAAATGGCTGATGCATTGCTGTTGTTGACTGTTGGCGCCCCGACCCTTAATGTTTCTACAGGGTATCAAGGTTTTGCGTTAGATCCCTATTGTCTCCCTCGTACTGTTCTTCGTTCCATAGGTCAGCATGGTTGTACGGCAGCGAAGCATCAGTCCAAATGGCTGATGTACTGCTGACCGGACATTTAGTCTCTACGACTGAGCCTATGCTGCTGGAGGAGTGAAACCGGTAGCTAATTTTATTTAGGAAGAAACTCTTATTCTGAAGCACAAGATCAGCAGCTTTGTACGGTGAACCACAAAATCCACGGGGAAACTGCAACGCGGTAAGACGGCGATGCCGCTAAGGCAAGCTCACAAAAATGTTCCATAAGTAGATGGAGATTGATTTACTAATATAGCAAAGAAACGGTGCTAGGTTGCAGTGTCACTGCAAGCAATAGGAGAGAAAGTACAGCGTTGGGAAAGAAAATAAATTGGAGTTGGAGAATGTGCAAAATGGATAAAAATGGCAGGATCGGAACCTAATCAAGTTATTCCCTCGTGATGACTGTTAACCCATGCATATCTTTTATTTCTTCCTTTAAAGCCTGTAAAGCATAGAGATAAGAGCAAGAAACGACAAACCTCTTTTACTGCTCTATGCTGAGCAAGGACTGACATTCCCCGAAAGTCCTCGGACTCCACGACTATTTTGTACATAGCACCACAACCCCCTGAGTGTCTTTACGACTATTCATAAAAAGGCTTACCACTAATGTCAGTAACTGTTACGGTCCGGGCTTGTGTAAAACGTCTACGAAGTATTTTCTCCAAAGCGATCTCACCAGTTGTTGATAAGAGTACCACACACCGCTTGGCACAGTGAAGCCTTTTCAAAGTTGACTGAAACTGTCAGCAAAAAGGACATAACACGCTTCGAAAGATGAAACAAAGAAAACGGGGAGCTAAAAGTATATTTTGGCAACGGTCGTACAACATTTGCTAAGGTAAAACATGTTTATTCACGGAACCGCTTGGTTTTCACGTCGAACTGCACCACCTCCTGCATGGGACCGCCTCGACTGAACACTTGCTTGTATTTAATTGCTTCCTTATATTCAGGAAGTTGAGCTACGTTCTTCGGAGCCTTCAACACTTCAAAAGTCATTAGCGGCAAAGCCGAGCTTACCAAACGTACGAATGTACGCAAATGCCAGGGCACCGACGGAACAAACGAACAGACCCCAAGCGATGCCAAGTCTCCACAAAGTACTAGGTGCAACCGTTTCCTCAAGTGTGCGACAGAAGCTATGACGGTATAAACGCTTCACCTCATCAACTGTAAGCTGTGACCAGGGCCCAGCCTCTTTCTTTCTTAGAGCTTCGATCTGGAAAACAAAAAGCAAATTGGAAACGTGCGTACTTCATCGGTGTGGTTCTGGAAGCGGATGGATGGATAGGGAAAAGCGGGATCATCCGCGTACATTGGGACTCCATTACGTCCAAAACCAACTATTTCCCGGTTTCCTATATGAGGGTAGTACTTTTTTTCCAACGGAGAGAGAACAGACACTGCATTCCTCTTCGAAACAAGGATCAGCCTATCAAAGTAAACTGCAACAGGCCGCAGCAATATGTGCCTCATGTGTACGCAGCGTCTGAGTGTAATATCCGTCCTGCTCAGAGTGGTAGGTTCCTCTGTATTCGTCACCAGATGGAGGTCGCAATAGACCGGAAGATCTGCAATGGAAAGCAAAGAGAAAAAGTAGGCGGCTGGACAATCACTTAGTAAGAACGAGCATCAACGAACAACGTATCCAGAGTCTGTTGGCAAGCAGACACCGGAAAGTGGCCGAATAGCTACGAACAACCGAGTGAAGGTGTACGCGTCCGCAGGCAAGGTCAAGAAGACAGGGAAAAACGCGCCGGTTCAGGGAGGGGGTTCAAACAACATGACGCGTCGCGTTACATTGTTCCCCCTTTTAACAGGTGCTGCCCTCAGCGCCTGTGACTCCTCTAGCTGGCTACAGCCTGTTGTAGTATACAACCGTTGAGGAACCAGGATCCCCGGACTTATGATTCGATAAGTTATATGGGACAACACTTGTTCCACAGCGAACCGTCCTTCCCAGTTTCGACGGAGCTTCGCAGGGACGCCCGGTGGTGTTACTGTTGCTTTGAGCCAGACCGTATCACCAGGCTTGAACGGACTCCCGAAAGCCTTCCGGTCAAAGTAAGCCTTCTGGTGACGCTGCGAAGTACATGCTCCGAAGCGGTTAGTTTCAGAGTGTGACGTCGGCAGCAGAGTATCCGAAGGCAGACGCAGTTCCCGAGATGCGGTATCTGACCGGTCGATGAGTGGACGGACGCTCGATAAGCTATTAAATATCTGGGCAAA